TTGGAAGTAATGAGGTTCAGGCTCTCTAAACAACTTTTAAATGTTTTGTTTCAAAAACAAAGTATTTGACTGGGTTTGGGAGGGGTGGGGTGGTGCCATGTCACTGCCATTGTGATGCTCTTTGAGTATAAGGTACAGCTTGCTACCTCCCCTGCACCAGCCAGAAGCCCAAGAACCTCCAGCCTACCAAGCAACAAGTTGGATCCTCGGCACACTGACCCACATGGGCAAGGGGATGGTAGCCAGGCTCAGTCTGGGGCTGCTCCTTCTGGTGCTGCTCCTACCCACGCAGGTTTATTCATTTACTCCCCTAATCAGCACGCCAGAAGCTACATCTAGAGGATCTGAGACCACAAAGCCCACCAGCAGCGCTCTACAGTCTACAGCCAGTCTCCTTGTGGTCTTGCTTGCCCTTCTACATCTCTACTATTAAGAGACGAAGGCCAAGAAACAGCTAGCATGCTCTAACTCATATGCTAAAACTCAATCCAAATCGTGCCTAGAAGTCTAGTGTGGCAAGGAAAAAACCCTTCACCAAAGGTCTTCATCAAATCTACTAGTTCCATTACTTGTTTCATTAACACAGACAATCTTGAGAGTCCCAAACTGGACTGGTTTAAAGAGCATCTGAAGGATTTGACTAGATGATAAATGCCAATATTAAATCTGCTGGAGCTTCATGTGGAAGACTGAGAGAAAAGACAACGTGGAAAATTAGTTAGTGATTTCATTAAAAGCGGCTTAAAAGTATGGACACTTACAACTCTATCTTGAAAATAATAATTTCACATTGATCTGGAGAAAAGGATGAGCTGCGGAATGGAGAGTCAGTTTTCGTTTTGGTTCATTAAATCTAGAAGGCTGTAAAGCAATTAGGTAATATAAAAAGCTTCCATGATTCTATTTATGTGTACATTGGAAAGAACCACCAGGTGTTACCATAAATCCTATGTGTATCATTTCAGCAGTCCCAATTTAATGCTGATACACTCTAGGTAGTTTTACATCATTAAGTTTTTACTCTTGGGCGCTGAACTGTTTCCTCTGGGGTTTTGGATTTGACATTGCATTTGACTTTCTATGTAGTAATTGACATGTGGCAGGGCATTGATGGATTAGAATCTACTCCAAATCCAAGAATGAGTAATTCTTGCATATACACTTAAAAGTGAAATGATAGGCTTTTCCCGTGATGCATTCCCATCCAAGAGAAGTGCTAAATTCATTTAGCTACCATACTTGAGTCCAAAGATTAGAAGTGCATTGACTTAAAATAATCTTAAAATAATGCTTTTTATCTCTGCATGTGTTGAATAATTTTTACAACTTAAAAATCGATTTATTTTGAAGGCATATTTGATAAATTTTGAAAGTAAGAGGTAAATATGAAATAGGCAAAAATAACATAAATCTAGTACTGTGTTTGGGAAGTGAAGACTAGAAACTTGCCTGCATTAAATTCACAACTCTTTTGTCCTCTTCCTGTAAATACTTAAAAAAAAAAACCTTTATGAATCAGAATAGCTACATTTGGAACACTTTCTATATATAGTCAATATTTTTTAGATAGTTAGAATCTGGTCTTAACCCTATGCGGACTTCATTCTGGAAAGTAAAACTTTTGCAATTGCCTTGAAACCTTTAATTCCATGAAATCTTTGGTTCACATGGCCACACGCTGATGCTTTGATGTTCCAGTATCCAGTATGGCCATAGTAGGTGTTGTGTTTTGTGTTTTTTTGTTTGTTTGTTTTTGACAGGGTCTTGCTCTGTTGCCCGGGCTAGAGTTCAATGATGCATCATAGCTCACTGCAACCTCAAACTCCTGGGCTCAAGCCATCCTCCTGTCTCAGCCTTGCTAGTAGCTGGGACTACAGACACGCACCACCACACCTGGCTAATTTTTCTATTTTTTGTGGAGAGGAGGTCTTG